TGACAAATGCACATGCTACTCTGATCATCTAAAAGACATCGATGATTCACAGCGAAAGGAATATACAGTACTTTCTTAAAAATCTTGAGCTACTAATGACTGGTTTAGTCTTGTTTCTTTTCCAACAACATGTTTGAATAAGTGTGAGAGACAAGTCAACACAAGGTATGTTGTTTTCCATTTGGTCGTAGGAACTATGATGATAAGCATGCTTTCTGAAGAAAGTCATAGTAACTCAATAGAGAGAATTGCTTGGCAGAGACTTTGTGATGCTAATATAAACTGAATATGATGTGGTACTTGAGGGCTCAAAGGTAGACAGGGTAATGCTAACAAGTACAACCACCAAATGTCGAGATACAGTACCTAAAGGCCGAGGTTGAGCGGGACTTTCAGACCTGTAAGACTCAGGTTGTGCAGGTTTCCAATTCGACATTTCTCAAAATGAATTTATGAATAACATGTATGCATATCATACCAATCTATAGGGTGGTATAGTAGGAAATTTGTTAATATATATATGTGTGTGTCTCTTTATATTAAAGTATACCTAATAAATTTGGGAATCAATTAAGCAAAGTTATGCAATATTCCCTTTGTTGATTTTGATTAACTGTATGTTTTCCTTGCACTTACAAATTTATCAGAGGATTTTCTGGAATCTGGCATTTCCCAAATATAAAGTTGATCATAAAAAAGTTTTAGTGTTTCACTCAGAAAATTAAATGATGTGTAGTGGATGTGACCCAGTATGTAAATTCCTTGCTCCAGGAGGATAACCAGAAGCTCATGTCTTCAGCTTAGGAGGATATTTTTATAGTATTGAGGCTTTGAGATGTATTTTTCAGCTATCCGTATTTCCATTTTTCTTAACTTGTATTTCAAGCCCCACCTCCTGCCTGTTTGAGGGAAGTCCTTAACTACAATGGTTATTTACACTCAGGTAGGACAGTTTTGATGACCTGTAAAGATTATGGACTTCCCCTCATATGTGCGCATAATTAAATAATTTTTTACTGTCTCACTTTCAAACTGAGACATGTCAGCCACATGAAACTCTTTCCTGGGCCATCTTATTCTCCATGTTTGAAAGTATTACTTTAAGAAATAAACTTCAGTGTTCCAAAAAAGTCAATATTGATCACCATAAATAAGCTTACAATAGTAGAAAAATTAATACAAGATAGAATTATGAATTCCATTGCTGCCATTTACTTCTTTTCTATTACTTTTCTATCACTAATTTACTACAAGAGGATTTTAGGAAATAGAAGAATTGAATGTTGACTGAGCAAGCACTGTGCATGAATTATAGCTATTATGTTGACTCATTCCTCAGACTTCCTGGAGAATATATTCCAAAAACTTTGAAAAGCATTTCTAAAATGGAAACTGAACAGTGTTATCTAGACATGCCTTTCCTGCAAACTAGAACTTCTAACTATTTATTTGTGCGTTTAAGTAGTTAGAATCTGTAGGAAACACTTATTCTCCCAAAACAAAGACAGTAAGGAGCTTGGGTGTGTGATTAACTTAGATAATCTGGGAAATATTGAAGGCTTAAATCCTACTTTAACTGAACCACATACACAAGAAGAATGGACATCAACAAGATTTTGAAGCATCCTGGTGTGTATATTAAAGAATGTGCAGGGAGTTTGCAAGCAATCATATCTAGAACCAGATGGTTCATATAAGTACTGCATGTGTTTAATGCACTGCAGTGCTGAAGCGTTTTAATACTTTTTTGAAGCATTGCAAAGAATAACGGTGATTCAAAAATATCTGCCATAATTTATTCACCAATCCATTAATTCATTAAGTAATACAGATTAAATTGTTGCCAAGTGCCAGACATTGTTTAAAATGGGAGGGCAAAATCTCATATATTATACTACCTTGCCCCTAAGAACAAATCAGTGAATATCTACACAACTCATAAGAGGTGTTCTTATTGAGCCAAAGATATTGAAAGGTTTCTATGAAGTAGCTGTCTATTTTGAAAGTCAACTGTGGTCATAGAGCTCACATTGGGCACTCTGTGAAGTTTTCGTTTGTCATTACTCAGCATGACTATACAATTTTCTTGGTGGAGATTTATGCCTTTCAATAAATCTGTTCTTTTACTTTGACTTAAAGCTAAGTGAATCCAGATGTGATACATCAATAAAAAACTCAGCCTTATTAGTGTGAGTATCTTACTACATTTTAATGGCATAAAGTCCTTCAAGTGATCCTTGTGCATCTATGCTTGCATAAAATGCTCAACAAAATGAAATATCAAACATGGTTTAATTAACCAAAAAAATAAACCTTTGCCAGTTTACGCATTATTTGGAAAATGATGCAAATATTTACCATTTCAACCACTTTTTTTCCCAACACATCATGCCTTGAGCTTAAAGAGAACTTGACAATATGAGCGTTCTTCATAGTAATGAGAGAGCTGTGAATACCAATCCTTTTCCTTGGCTCAAAACAGTGGTTCTCAGACTTCAGGACTCACCAAATTCATCCAGAAAAGTTCTTTAAAATGCAGATTGCTAAGCCTTGCCCTGAGGCTTTCTGGCTCAGTAGTGATGAGATGAGACTCAAAAAATGCATGTGCAATAAGTTCTTGGATTAAGTAAGTAGCAGAGAAAAAAAAACCACACTCACTTCTGTGCTATTCAGATCAAATGTATGAGATATCATATAGCACTTACTGGTAGTCTTTCACTACAGGTAAGCTCAACTGTTGAGTCTTTGGCCACGGGGTTTAGCTACTGAAGTGACTCTCATCTAGCTGGACCCATTTACATGTTTAAACCCTTTTCCATGCAGATTAATTACAAACTGAATGAGAAATGAAATAAATGATACTAGTTACAGACATTTGATCTACCAAATATATTAGACAAACACATTTAATTATTGCTGGTCCCCATCCCCAAATGCCAAGCCCCCTCTTTCTTAGTTTCCTCAAATGCATTCCCATGCTGCTGGGCTTGCTTGCTGGAGTTTCACCTTGTAATGTAAGTTCTATGCAGACTGGGTGCTAACAAGCAGGTCCCCCCCCCCGCTACCGCCTTTATTCTTTGTAACTACCTTTCAAAGAGTTCTTCCTTTGACTCTGTTACATGAAAATCTAGCATGGTCAGTCCTAGATGAAGTGTGTAACTCGCATTTTTTTTCCCATTAAATGATTGTATAGGCTGGCCGTCTCAAAGAGTTACTAAAAATTTTTTTTTCCCCGCACTTTAATTCAAGCTATTTTTTGAAACTGAATTTCATATTCAGGTATATATGCTATTATCCATAGACAGTAAATGTAGTTTTATCTCCTGTAATACAAGTCAGATGGATCTATGCTTGCATAATATTAGAGCTAGCACACTTATCCAACTGCCATGTCATCAATAAACAGCAATGGCTCTAAGAAAACAACGACAGTAATGATGAATATTTACTGATAACCAGAAATTGTGACAAGAGATTTAGACAAACTAGTACTGATCATCCAATTCTTTGAGGAAAGTGCTCTTCTCATTCCTACCGTATACGTACGAGGAAGCTACGCTACAGCAAGAGACAAGGGACTCCCGCATGACGCGCAGTGAGTGAAGGCTCAAACCGATCTTTCATGTTGTTCTTTTTCCTCAGTGTCCTCTTGGAAGGACCACCTGATTCTCTTTAACGTATATCATGTGTGTCCTGTTGTATCTCCTGCTGTTGTCAAAGCTAAGCAGACATTTATAAGATTTTCAAGTTAGAAAGAAGCCCCTTCGCAGCCTTGTCAAGCACTTACCAAGCAAGAACCTGTTCCATCCAAATGGAAACTTCCAAGCGGAGAGAATTTACTTCGTTTTTGCCTCAAATAACTGTAACTCACTGCTTTCATATGGCATTGATAAATGCTAAACATGATAGTTCAAAGTTCTGAAATCATGATTCTTACTCTTAATTAGGCGATAAGTTACAAAGCACTGATAATCATTTGTGAAAATGAGATTTTATTTATGATGAAATTAATAAAGTTCACTGGGATATAACTTTTAGAACAGAGTGTATTCCACTGTCTTTTTTTTTTAGTAAATCTAGTATCACCTTGACTCTCCTGCTTCATAAATATTTTTGGTAGAAATTATGTTATTATTTACAACAGAAGCATTCTCCGTAATTTTTACTGTTTTAGTTCTTGTCCAGTGTTTCACAACGAAATAATAAATATCACACACTCGTCAATACAAATTATTACAATAATTCTTTGACATTCCAAGAAACAGCTTAGCATTAAACTCATGCAGCTTTGCGAATGAAACACGCACGTTCAACAGGCATGGATCACAAGTGTCTGTTTCTATCCAAACAGCTCCCCGCACGGTAGTGATTTTTCTAATCCCTGTAATTTATTCATCTCAGAATACACTCCAAAAGCATTGTTTGCCTGTGTTATCCACCAGCTTTAAAAGCAGTCTTCATTGTCGGGAGAGAACAGATGCAACTCATCAGCAAGGCTTGTTGCAGGGATGTTTGTGCTGAGGAATACTCTATTTGGCAAGCACTTGTAGTCTGATGAGTGAAATGAAACAAGAGTTAGAAGGATTCCAGATCTAAGCCCTTTACCTCCAAGATCCTCCCCAGAGCCACACTGCAATCACTGTAACAATTCCAAATCTCATTCTAGATGCCCGTAAATACTCAAATTGGAAAGAAACCTGTAATTGCCCAGTGGAATTTTCAAATACACTTAACTTTGCTATTTCAAGCCACAGACACCAAATGGACACAAAGGTAACGCTCTTAATTTTCATCAACTTATCAAAGCCGAGGTTTTAAAATGATGATTTTTTTTTTCTCCTTTTTCTTGGCACAAACCATCCTTGACAATTTAGAGAGCTGGAAAAAAGAGCCTTTGGGTGCAAATATCAGGCCACAAATGGGATGCGTCTAAGCTTTTAAAGGCAATAGGAGGCCCTTTGTTTTCATCACAAATGCTGATGTCAAGTTTTATGTTACAGGTCATTCAAACTGTAAGTGCCATGGACAAAGATGATCCCAAAAACGGACATTATTTCCTATACAGTCTTCTTCCAGAAATGGTCAACAATCCAAATTTCACCATCAAGAAAAATGAAGGTAAACGTACTAGCTTTATGAAACAGGGTAGAATATGAATGAGAGCACAGAATGCAATTTTATCGTATAGCTGAAAATGCCATTGAAATAATGTTTGTTCACTCGTGAGCAATTGAAATCCAGATTATCAGTCCAACTGCCTGGTAATTATATCACCCCCCCCACTTTCCAATACTGAAACAACTGATAAAAAATTATAAATGTGAAAATTGATTCTATCCCAGGGGATACTTCAGTTGACTTATTTTAGACTGTGAAGAAAAAACAAATAACCCCTGTGACAGCATCAGAACTTCTGATATACAAAACTAGAGCTATCTTTTAGAAGAGTGGGCTTATACTTTGCAGCTGTTTTAATTGAGTGCTTTCAGGTCTTTGGGGAAAGACTATTCTAATTTTGCTTGATATGTGGGTACACATTAAAGGTATTTGTTTTAAGCCCGTGTTGACTTAATAATAGCAGTTACATCAGAAAATCCTTTTTGAATGACAGTCGTTATCAGTATTATTTTGGAACTAATATGAACTGATTTTATTGTCAAGTCTTTGCCCACAGAACCTATTTAATCTACTTCATTAATTCCTGAGTAATGAGCTTCCGTTATCATTTCCTTAAATTATTACCTATTGCATTCGAAAGCAACGTATCACATTTTTTAGAGGTCTGTCTCATGTATATATTTTTGTCCTTATATGTTTTGTTATATATTTTCTTACATATTTTGTTCCCTTATATATTTAACAAGGATTGCCAGTGTTTCTTACACTCTGGTTCAAATATTTCCAGGTCTTAGTTTCAGCTATTTTAGAAGTATTAACAAAATGTAAGTTATTGGCTCAGGCTAGTTTTGGAGCTTACTGTGAACAGGTATTTAGGATTCTGAATAATGTGCTTATAGGACAAAGTCAATTAGAAATGTAAAATTTAATACATGATGCATTATTGGTTTATGCCCCATGTTCTGTTTCAGAGAAGTGGAGAGTTTTGATGAAACTTCCTTTATGAAGCACAATTACTTTTCATAAATTGTATGAAATATATTGTATAATTACCTTTAAAATGATACCGCTGGCTTTTTGGGTGTATTGTGGTAAAGTAAGATGCATCAGAGAAAAGGAAATTGGAAAGGCATTACAGAGATGCTACTCCAGCTGACTTCCAGGATGATAAAATTAAGATGAAAATCTTTTTTGGTTAATACTGAAACTCCCATGTGTTAGCCACTCCTGATTCGGAACTTTAATGCAAGTGTGTGGTCTTTCTTCCTCTGTTAACAGAGTTTATATTTCCCCTTTGTAGAAGTCATTCACACATGTTTAAAGCACAACAATACAACTCTATCAGAAATTCTAGGCTGACATAATTGAGCATAACTATGGTTCATGCTTACACATCTTAGATGCTGTACATATAAACGAGTATTGGATGACTAGATGAATGAAAAAGTGTGATTGTGCATCACAGCAAGTCAAGTTTTAGTCTGTATTCTCTGTGCCCTAATACGTAAACAGCAACAACAGCAACCACAACAACAAACCATTTAGTTATTTATGAGATAAGCGGGGCAAAGAGAGAAATCCCTGTACCGCTTTATCTTCCAAATGCCTGCAACCACTGGGCATGAACCAGGCTGAAATCAGGAGCCGGGAACTTACTGCTGGTGCTCTACAGGGATGGCAGAAGACCGAATCCTTGAGCCATTATCTGTCAGCTCCCTAGGTGTTCATCAGCAAGAAGCTAGAATCAGTGGGACTCGAACCCAGGCACTCTGGTGCAGGAAGCAGCACACCCAGGAGGGATCTTAAATTACTGTGTCAAACACTTGCTCCACCTGCCGAGCTCATGCTCCTGAAGTGCATGTGGACTCATCAAGGGAACAAACTGCATGTGTTTTATCTGTTTTTTAGAGTTAGTAGAAGGGACAATGTTATACACTTCAGAAATCTCCTTTCGCTTAAATCCCAAAACAGGATACTTAAAATTACATAAGTATTTATTTTATGTATTGCAATGTTGAATTACCTTAATAGGTTTTAGTTTTGTTTTGTGAAATTAAACATCATATATGCCAGGCATGCCAAAATGATGTGGGCAAGCAAGAGCACTCTAGGTGTCATGATTGTTTATGTTAAATACGATGTTCATTTGTTTTGCAAAAAGAGAACATATATTTTATTATTCCAGCAGGGACTTTTTTTTTTGAGAGTAAAGAGGTAGCTGCTTATATTTTATGTTGGGAAGACACCATAAACCAAGACTAAGTTGAAAAAAGTAGAACATATGTTAACGGATAATATTCAGCATTTCCTTCACAGAGTAAATCACGAAGCCCTGGATCTTTGGAGCAGGTATATAAACTTTGTAATTTATTTCCTGTTTCCTAGGTCAGAAATTTCTGAGTTTTACTCTGTGGATCACTAGTTTATTGGTATCCAGATAGTTATGCTGAAAATAGACAACATAATTTTTCTCTTTTTAATATTTAAAAGAATTAAAGGGATTGTTAAATTTAAGGATAAATTTAAAAATATGTGCATATGGTTGTACACATACATATGATTATAGATGAATATATATGAGTATGTATTATTTTTAGCAAATAGCCAGATATTTTTGACAATCCAATGTTAATGGTAAGACAACACAAAACTAAGCGAAAACATTTGACATTATTTGCTTTACAACACAACTAGATTGCCTTTATGTTGAAAACATGTAGAAATGTAATCAAATGGCATAACCAAATTTGTTGTCTTCTAAACATGGGCTTTTCAGGGGTCAGAGTTGATAATTCTCCATTAAATGCTCAAGTTTCAATACCCATACCCCCCCTGAACAAATGTTAGAATTTGGAAACTTATTCAAATCATAGTAGATGGATGAGTTCCTCTCCTGCTTAATTTGATCTTTAAAGGAAGTGTTTTTTGCATTTTGTAATTTCAAGGAACTTGCAGCCATGTTTTTCAGCTCAAAATTATTGTGCTCTTCCACGTTTGGAACTGATTTTTCCTTAACACAATATTAAGCTAATTCATAATCAAAGATAAAATAAAAACTAACTTAGCTGTCTCTATACTCTTTACATCTGAGTGACTTCACAAAGCAATTCTTCTTCCAAATATATTAGAATCATATTTCTGCCAGGATTAGGAAACAACCTTCAAAACGGATACATTTAGAAGCAAAGATAAAAATATGATTATTTTGGGGTGCACCGTATAAAAGATGACAGAACCCAATTTAGATTTGGCGAATCTTTATTAGCCAGCTGGCCATTGCCCCACCTGGAACAGGTCTGAAGGAGACAGCCCGGAACTGTCAGGGCAATGAGGACAAAACTCATATCATGGTGAACTTTACACTGGCAAGCAAGCAAGCAAAAATACAGAAGCTACAATAAACAAGTCAGAGCAAAGATGAGTAATTTTATAATTATAGTTACAGTTAAGCTTCCTGGAAATTGATTGCGCTTTTCATGGGATTCAGTTCCCAGGATCTGGTTCCTCCTTAGGGCAGGAGGGTCAATCTAACCCAATTGGTATGCACTTATTTTATCATTTTTCACCTCGTCACACAGTGGGTCCTTTACATTACACATACATCAAAAATTATTGCACTTTGCTATTTCTAATGATATAGTCAGAAAAATAGTTTCATGTTTCATTTGGATGCATTTTTTTAAACAGAGTTTTTTTCTGACCACATTTCTACAAAGGCTTCCATTCTAGCAGTGGAAATGGGAGACACCCAACAAATCAGTATAATAAGACAGGGAAGATAAATGGACCTTTTACAGGTGCTGAAATACCTTGCTTGCAGGAATTTGAAGTTTGCACAAACCTGCTCTCTCCAGTCAGCATGTTTTAGGTTAAAAATTTGATTGGAGTTGCCCGAGCACAGTCTGGTGAAATGGTTGTCGTCACAGTTTCTCCTGAAATGTTTGAATCATGTGTTTAAAGGAATGAGGAAAAACACAGAGCTTTGTTCTCTGGAGAGAGCCTGTGGGATTACAGAAACAGGCAGTGAATTTGGACCTAGTTATCAGTTTGTTATGTTTAAGAAAAGTCAGCTGCAGAAACACGCCAGCTGAAGATAACTGCTTTCTTGGTATTTCTTGGTTGCTTGAAATAGTACTAATTAGAAACACACTCTAAAGAAATTGTTCCGTAATTGACAACCTTGATGTTGACTAGAATTTAGCAGAAATATGCTTTATCTAATCGTAAGCTCCATATCAGTGTTGTATGTTTGGAGCGTAATTCTTGCTTTGTTGGAAGAATTTCTGTCGTATCTATGGGCCTATTTCAAGTGCTATATAGTACAGAGGCTTTCTCACTTTTTATCATGTAGACTTATCCCTTGTAAAACACTTTTCCTAAAAGCAAATGATGTGAAATCTTAGTTTTCTCATCTATAATATGCCAGGATAGCTGTACCTCTCTCCTTGTTATGTGTGCTATGATGCACGTAGGCAAACTGGGACTTGGCAATCTCTTAACATATCTGACACAGAAAAAAATTTCATTGATGAATGGGAAAAGATCATCTGTGTATTCATCTGTTGGGTCTCAACTTCTCATGCTGCTATATTCCTCCTTCTCATAATTCTTCATGAAATCTCTTTGCAATATTCGCTCTATAGGTATTTGTGTGTGTGTGTGTGTGTGTGTGTGTGTGTGTGTGTGTGTGTGTGTGTGTGTGTGTGTATGTAGCCCTCAATTTTGAAAGTGACCATTTTGCTGATTCTCAGAAACCTGACCTGTATGGCTTCTAGTCCTGGAATATACAACAGTGTAAAGGATCTTATAACAGAAGAAATCAAAAGAGTTGGGAATGGAAGCGCAAGGAAAATATTTACAACTGCAGAATGCTCTTTAGGATTCCCAGATCTGGTTTTAAATATATAGATGTCTTTTTTTTTTTAACCCAATCTTTTGTGCAAAAGTGAAACTCAGCTCACTCCACGTGGTGGGTTAACAACTCCCCACCTGCTGGAATC